TAAAAAAAATAGTGGATAAGTATGACCCTACACGCTTAATGGACCCAATTATCGCTCCAGTTTGCTGGGCTAACATCTCATTGGGTAGTTAAGGATTGATTGCATTTCTTTACTGTATGTTTCCATTTATTTTTCCTTTAGAATGTATTTGATTGGTTTTATTTTCTATAAAAAAGTCATTTTTCATTCAAATTTTTATTTTTAGGGTGTTTGATTGACAATTTTTTCAGAAAAAATATTTTCCAACTTTTGATCATATGAGCATATTTTCCTCAAAAACAGGAAAAACATTTACTTTAGGGAATGATTTTTAATGTTTGAAGTAATTCATCATCTCTCTCTATATCTCTCTCTTATATATATCATCTATCTTATCTACTCACCAATAAAAAATTGACGAGTATACTATTTTTTATAAGTTAAAAACTAAACCAATAAAACACATTTAATTAATAATTTTCATAAAAATAAGTTATAGACAATTAAATTGTTTTAAATTTATTTTCTTTCCATACAAATTACATGCTCGCAATCAAATATACCCTTATTCTTTCTTTATATTTTTCTTCATTTTTGCTCAATTTTTTGCATTATTCTAGTAATTATATTTAAAACAATCATGCACACATACATTATATTTAACATCATTATTTACATTGTATCACGCGATAATACTATTTGCTAGTTTATAATAAAATTATTTTCCAGTCCTTATATTTTTGGAGAAACGTACATTTAGCATTATTCTAATTAAAAAATATCTAATAACAGGAAAATATAAATAATGCGACATTCAAATTTTAAAGTTGGATGAAGCGCCCGCCTTTGTTGATTTAGTGGTATGATTAAATTATCTTGATTAGACAACTAAAAATTAAGGAAGATTAATTTCTTCTTTCCAATGATGACTGATGACCCAATGTTGACATAAGGATTACATCATACAAACTTTCAAAAATTATTTCAAAATAAACTTTTAACATTTTAGCTTTTAGAACTTCTTCAAAATATTAATATCAAATATGTAATATGACTGGTGACCCAATGTTGACATAAGGATTACATCATACAAAGTTACAAAAATTAATTCAAAATCAACTTTAACATTTTGGCCATATTTGGAAGGGATTCTCAAAATTTTACAGTAAATTAATTCTCATTTTCTACCACAGATTTTTCAATAAAATAATATTTTCCGTCACATAAATAAATTTTTTTGCTTTTTAAACCATACATTTCCCATCATATCACTATTCAAAATCAATTCTTCCTCCAAAAATCTCTCCCAAACAAGCATTTTATCTTTTAGAGTTGCTTCAAAATATCATATCAAATATGACATATTTGATATGTTAAATTAAAATTGATTGAGTGGACTCAATTTGAGATGTAAAATTATTGTCAGTCTAATCAATGGGGGATAAATACTGAGGGCACCTATGGCATGTCTTTTGCTCTTGTAGTAGAGCATTTGAAAGAAACTACGTTAATTTTTGTTTAAAAACTATTTTTTAATAAAATTTTCTATTTTGAAAGTGCTTTTATAGAATACACATCAGATCAACTTTCTCTAAAAACTTTTTTAACTAAAAAAAGTACTTTCATAAAATTAATTAAACGAGTTTGAAAGCAGTTTTTGAATCTCCAAAATTGCTTTTAACTTTTCAAAAAATCAAGTGAGAACGGACCCTAAATCTTTATCCAAGTTAGCCTCCAATCAAGTGTGAAAATAATTTTGTCCTGTGTTGGGTCAACTTGACTAATAAGTGGAAGGATTATGCTATGGCAATCCATTTACAATTATTCATATTTTGAACTGAACCTAACTAATTATCCTTTCACACGATACCAAAGCCACCGGTGGGACAATGATATATCTTTTTTGATTGAATAGTTTTGTAATGTAACGTTCATATATATAGCCGTGTTTTATTCAACTTAAAATTTGAATTAAAATTGAAATTAAAGTCATGAATTAATTATAATCACATATTTTATGAAATCAACAATTTTTTTAATTACACATTTGATATTTCATTAACTGCTAACAAAATCAACTAAAAATCTTTTATTTAAATCAAACGGGGGCATAGCGTTTATTACTATTTGGTATAACTTTTTCCAAGTTACATTTTAATATTTTTTGTTAATATGTTAGTAGCTAGCATTGAGAAGATCACGAGTAATATGTTAATGATTTTCTTGACCATGAAATTTTTTTGAAAGGGTGAACCCACTTTCTTAGAAGTTTGAAAGTTCGAGTTTAAATGAAATGGATGTCTAGATCATAACTCAAATTTATGTCTGTGTGAACGTCTAATCTTAAATTTGTTTACTTATTTCTAAAATATTTTTAAATACTAGTTTAAATTTCTTGCTACTAGTTTCTCGTTTTCATAATGTCACTATTTTAAGCTGGCATCTCTTGTAACATAGAAAACGTAAAGAAGATTTACAAGTTAATTTCAGCAACAGTCACTGAAATTTGTAATAAATCTCAAAATTATGTAATTTTTTTTATAGTGCTAGTCGCTCGAGCTTGTAATGATGCTGCTAATGATCACTCAACTGGAAACGTCAATCTAAAATCTTACATGTCAGTGGCAAATTCCATTGTGAACCCAATGCAATATTAGTTAATATGCTACGTCACACATAATCAATCGAGTTACCTTTGAAAAATAGTTGGTTGAATTTGACTTTTCGCGACAAAAAGACTAAAAATATTTTATCCCCGATTTCATACTTAATCTTCATCCCTTACCCTTCTCTTAACGTTTTTTCTATCAATGATGAAAAATTCTTTTTAACTTTTTATAAATCCTAATATTCAAAAAATATTATTTTCGACTAAAGTCAAACAATAACATAAGAGACACCATTAGTATAAATACATACATACATAGAAATATATGAAGAAGAGTTTGAAAAAGTAAAGATTGCCCTTTTATTGTGTGTTTCATGAATTTAGACCCTATTTGGTTCCCATCTTTGGGGTAAAATATATTATATAATAGTGATTTTTTGGATAATGTGTGATTAATAAGTATGAAAAAGTTTTTGAAATACACGTATAATTATTTTATAGTAGAATGTGTGATTGAAAATGATTTTTGAAAAGAACTACTCTTGAAAAAATGGGGCTCAAACAGGGGCTTATCAGGAGAGTGATTCTTAATTTGTGTTTGGGTTATTTGATGATATACCTTTTGAATTCAAATAGTATTAGTAAGAAATTTCATTTCGTAATATTTAAGTTTTCTATTGGGGTTATCTTTTATTTTCTTGAACTGAAAGGACCAACTTTTTCTGTTATGATTTTAAAAACAGGAATTTCAGGTTTCTGTTGGATTATCTTTTTTTTTTTCTTAATTTCTTAAATTCAAAATAATGGTGACTAATATACGAGGATTATCAAAATAAGTCAAGAAATTTAACAATGCATATTGATGAAAATGATTGAAAATTTGAAGGGATTATAAATAAATTATGATATGATAGATATATAAAAATGGTGAGATAGATATATAAAAATGGTGTTGATGTATATTGTTCAAATGAATGAATATTGAAATGTGATATTCATGAAAATACTATTTTCTTTTTAGATTTTAGAGCATGTTTGGGAGTGATTAAAATCCAATTAAAATTGAAAATATAGTCGTTATTGGATCCCACTCGTCTAATAAAAGTTAACAATAACGGCTAGTTTTTCAATTTTAATCCGATTTTAATAAGAATAGATATAAGTGAGATGAATATATAACAATGATGCATGTAAATAGTTGGTCCCGTTCAAAATTTATAGCAATCCCGAAGTTTTACATAAATATCAAAGATTTTGCTACTTGTACATAAAAAATGTATATAATCAATAACATAATATGACGTTGGGGAAAAATATTGGATGAAAAAATTGATTACGTTTTAAACTGGTTAATAATAGAATGTCATGTACCATTATATAATCTATTATTAAGAGCCTGTTTGGTAGGGATTTTTGGGGGAAGAATTGATTTTGAATAGTGATATGATGAGAAATGTGTGGTTGAAAAAGAAGAAAAAAGTATTGATGTGATGGAAATATTATTTTATTGAAGAATGTGTNTTTTTGGGGGAAGAATTGATTTTGAATAGTGATATGATGGGAAATGTGTGGTTGAAAAAGAAGAAAAAAGTATTGATGTGATGGAAAATATTATTTTATTGAAGAATGTGTGGTTGAAAATGAAAATTGATTTGAGAATCAGAAACAGGGCCTAAATGTTAACCTACAAGCAGCAACATCAAAATATTAATAATTGGATCCGGAATCCATAACTTATCAAATCCAATCCTCACATCACAAGCAGTTTGAGTCGGCACACATCAAGAAAATCAAAGAATAGAAATTCCCCTGTATTTGTGCGCGTGCTGTGCGAGTGAAAATTTCTTTAAAATGCCCAATGTCTTTCTCAAGTTTTTCTGCAAAAATTCCTCTTCTGCAAACCCAAATCCGAACTAGAAGAAGAAATATCTACATTTCTCCAAATACGCCAAGTTTTTCTTCACTGCTTGATAGAAACTCGCGCTCAATTTTAACCAACTACCCGTTTAGCCAAACCCAAACCATTGTTTGCGCAACTATGGAAGATTACAATAATTCAGCTGTTGAATCCCTTGTGTCGGATAAGTATTTTAAAGAATTGGAAGTTGCTGTGAAGGCAGTGCAGATGGCTTGTTTGCTTTGCCAGAGAATTCAACAAACTTTGCTTTCTAAAGCAAATGACCATGTACAATCCAAGGATGATAACTCTCCTGTTACAATTGCGGGTAATTCTTTTACCCTTTTCTTGTCTTACTTCTCTCTGTTGGTTTTTGACTTCAAAAATGTTCCTGGTTTTGATTTGGATTATATTTTGTGGATTTAAATTAGAAAATGTGGCTGAAATTGTTTGTCTGATGAGCAAATATGCAGTTATTAAAGAGCAACACAGTTCTTATTGAATTACTTGTAAACGAACTGATTTCTTTTAGTGAGTTAAACTGCACGTTGTTGGAAAAATTGGTTTTAATTACTTGTTGGAAAAATTGGCTTTAGTTAGTTGGTTTGACCAACTTTTGACCAATTATTTTAGTGGGTTCCACTAGTTGGATAAAAGATTTATTTGGCCGAGTGTGTTCTAATCCATGAAAAAGATTACTGTAATTTATTTATTTTCTCAAAACCGTGGAAAAGAAATTAAGACCAAAATATGACCACCTGAAGTTGAAATAAATTGTGAATAAAAATTGGTAGAAAATTTGAAAATGATAAGTTTATATTGCTCAAATTTGGGGATTGAGTTTGGGCACCAAGGAGTACTAATAATCTATGGAGGGGGAGAGAACCTACGTACTAGTAGGTT